TATGAATGGTGGTAAATTGGAGACGAGGGTAATGAAGTGCATATTTCTAGGATATGCATATGGAGGGAAAGGTCATCGTCTGTGGTGTACATAATAAGGAATGACTCTAAAATTTGTTATTAGCAGATATGTGACCTTTGAATCAGTTATGCATAACTAGAGAAAATATGGTATAAGTGTTGTGGGGAACAATCAGGGTGCTAGCTAGAATGTGGAGTTTGAAATAGAAACCCCACGCAGTTTTGTGATAAATGAGGTACAACATGGTGACATGGAACAACATATATGTGAGTAGTCCCTTGAACAACCTAGGAAAGAAGTGTCTGGTAATGATGATGCCAGGAAAGACTACTTGAAGATGTTTCTGGAGAATGAGCATCTGATGAACAATTTAGCAGATGAAAAAGAAGATAACGCGGATGGAGATTCGGAGGGACAGAAGATTAGGATGGTTATTCAATTCTCACTACATTAAGAAAGTGTTGAAACAATAAAAGATAGATCGATAGATTCTAACAAGTGAAATTAACCAAACAATAAGAACAAAGAAGATCAAATGGTTCTAAATGCTTAGATTCAATAGCCTTAGAAGAGTTCAACAAGAACTTTGCTGTAAAGACTACGTAGGGCAATACAACTTGTTAACCCTAAAATGGTGCATGCATGCACTATAATTACTCTAACTCTAATATCATTAAAACCCCGGTGGACAGGCCCAACTCGTTACAATATGGACTATTATAGTACAAAACAATATTGACACAATACATTAAACACCCTAACAATCTCCCCCTTTGTGTCAATTAAAGAAGGTAGATTCTTCAATGCGGCTGACGTTTCTGAACTTTGAACAACTTCAACATTAATCCAAGCAAAGTGTTGCGAACTACGATATACCATTTGATCATGTCTGCAAAGCACTTCTTGTATGCGGCATCATTCGCTTTGCATTTTTCTGTTACCCCCAAAACGTAGTTTAGACAAGATGTAGAATAAAGATGCATGTCTGGTAAGGAGAACAAGCACTTCTGAACTTTCTCGTCTTCTCGTTGTTGAAACGCCATGCTCCAGTTATCCTCTCTAATTTTTCCCAGCTTCATCTTGCTCATATCATTCAGAGCTTCTTTAGGTTGCACAGATGGTTTCTTTCTTAGCTCAACCGCAATCTCCACATCCATTTTCCCAATTTCTTGAATCTAGGAGACTAACATTCTTTTCAGATGTGCCACTATTGGTTCGAAATTCTGTTTATCTTTAGACAAAAGAGTGAACAAAGAAATCCAATCATATGGATTTAGGCAAGGCAAGTCAGCAAGAGTGAATTCAAAGACCGAACTCCCTGCTCCCCGGACTGCTTTGAATCGAACGTTGATGAAGCTTTCTGTTTCAACTGAGCCAAAAACTTTCACTGCGGCAATTCGAACTCCATGTCTGATATTGGAGGTTTCCATGCTTAAGATAAAATGAGAAAAGCATGTGATTGACATCGTTATCCAAATCAGGAGCTTTCTCAATCTTCTCAAAACGTCGGAATATGAAAGCCTTCGGAGTGATCGGAAAATTAAGCTCATATTCCGAAGAGTTATCCAAGTCAAATGGGACAACTGGCTCCAACCAGTGAATACTCAGATTGTCAATTGCCTCGTTCAGAATCCGCTCCATGGACCAAGGAGGGAAGAGGGCCTTCTGAGTTTTAAGTGTGACATGAGCTTCACGAGCCTCCTATTCAGCTGCTTCAGCTTCCTTGCTAACACGCTCAATCTCATCAAGCTCTTTCTCACGAGACTTTCTTTTGAGCTTTGACCCATCGGATAAATTTTCTTCTTCTTCATCATCATCACCAACCATTTTTCCTTTGCTTTTAGATGCAGAAGCTTCATTACCCTTCTAATATTTTGTGTTTGGCTTTGGTTTGTGTTCGAACTCACCAAAATCACTAGCTGTGTTCTTGGGTTCTTTACCAGATGTCTTCTTAGCTTCTCCCCCTTGTTTCGCAAGAGCATCAGATTCCGAAACACCTTCGATACGATTAAGCATGGAGAATACCGGTTTCAGTTTTTCCGTAAGATGTTGTCTTACCGAGACCATGAGAAACGAGTCACAAGTCTCTACCAGATTCTACAAGTAAAGGTTGACATCTGCGACACAACTTTTTATCAGTGTTGCAAATATCAGCCTAGGCGGCCGATTAATCGGCGCCTAGGCGCTTGTCGGTCCTCGAATGTCAACGTTTATAGCTAATCGGGCTATATAATCGGATATGGTCAAAGTCGGTCAAAAACGGGTCTAGGCGGGTCTAGGCGCCCAAATCGGTCAACGAAAGTCAGAGCAATTTTAAAAAAAATATATTTAAGGGCAAAATTGTCAAAATGTAAGAAATGCTTCTTGGGTTGCATCCGTTTTCTCATTCGATGCAGTAAAAAAAATCGCATTCTCTCTGCCTCTCTGAACCACGAACGAGAACGAACAAGGGAAATCTATCGCATCTTCTTCTTCTGTTCACCTTCGATAGTCTCACACCCGTTTTTAGCTCTAGCCCCCGGTTCGTCATCTCCTTCAAGAAACGACGTGCAGTCTCCTTCCAAGCTTCAGTTCACGAAGTTTCTGGGCTCATGAAGTTTAAAGATTGCAGTTCTTGAAGTTTATCGGTTCCAAAATCAACTATTCATCCGACTTCAGCTCCTCTCGTCGACACTAATTGAGATATCAAGGTTCGTTTTTACTTCTGACTCTTCTTCCTACTTCAACTCTTCTTCCGACTTCTCTGTGACAGCTTCTACTGTTAACAGCAAGCAATTTATCTGTTAACACTTAACAACAAGCAATTTATCAGTTGGTTAACACTTAACACTAATTAAGTCTAAGTTATTTATCGGTAACATGTTTATTGACCATGGGAAATCGATTTGAGATTAGGAAAATAGAATAACTTTCCAATGATATTATGTGGATATTTATCTGTACAGAGCAAAAAGATGAAGGCTTGGGGTCTCTGTGACAGCTTCTTAACATGAAATCTATTAACAGCTTGTTTTGTGACAGCTTGGGGTATATGAAGTCTTCTCTGTCACAGCTTCTGTCAAGTAGTTTTTTTTTTTTGAAATCTGTTAATAGCATCTTCTGTTAAGAAATTTGGTATTGGTTAATTGAACATTTGTTGAAACTGTTTAACATGAAATCTGTTAAGAAACTATTTAACATGAAATCTGTTAAGAAATTTGGTATTGGTTAATCTGTTAACAACACTTTAGCAGTAAGGCATTAACATGAATCTATAAGTTGTTTGGTTGATTGATAATCATTTTGTCAAGCATTTATATTATATTTTTTAAAGTGTTAATTTTTTTAATGTGTTAATGTGATGAGTTAACAGTTGACAATCAATGACTTCCAATGCTTCAACTACACCTTCTGTGGGATCAACCGCCATCGATGCACATAAACGGAAGTCGGATGATGTTGGTTGGGAATATGGTTTTATCCCGGATAAAAGCAACTTGGATAGATTGAAACGTAAATTGTCTGGAAAAGTGTTTGGCGGAGGGATTACTAGAATGAAACAACATATTGCTCATGTGAAGGGGAATGTATCTTCATGTCCAAGTTCTACAAAAGATTATCAACTGAAATGTCGAAATTCTATTAATGAAGGGAAGTTAAAAAAGAAAGCTAAACATTCGCAAGATGAAGCCTTAAGATTTGAGGTGAGACAAGAATTTCATGATAGCGTGGATGGAGTTGAATTTTCTTTGGGGTTGAAAGCACCAAATGTTATAGGCCCCATGGATGGCTACGCAAACAAAATAAACCCCGAAGAAGAATTGAATGTGAGAAAGGAAAAAAATGTTGATCTTAACAATATTGTCCGGAAAGAAAGAATACTCACGGTCCATAAATACATTAGTAGGTGGGCATATGAAAGTGCAATTCCTTTTCATGCCTTTGAAAGGGATAGCTTCAAAATGATGTTGGAGGTTGTTGGCCAATTTGGAACTGGGCTTCCACCTCCAACTAGACATGCTTTGAGTGTCACGCTTCTAAAGCATGACGTTGAAAGAACAAAAAACTTGTTGAAAAAAAACGAACAAGAATGGAAAGAGGATGGATGCTCGATTATGACGGATGCTTGGTCTGATCGAAAGAGAAGGAGCATTATGAATTTATGTGTTAATTCGAAGATGGGTACTGTTTTTTTATCTTCAAAAGAATGTTCTAACGAAGCACATACAAGCCAAAAAATATATGAATATGTGGAGTCTTGCATTCAACAAGTTGGTCATGAGCATGTTGTTCAAGTTGTGACCGATAATGCCACGAATAACATGGGGGCGGCAAAGTTGCTAAAAGAGAAAAGACCATCTATTTTTTGGACATCATGTTCGACACATACCATTAACCTTATGCTTGAAGGTACTTACATTATTTTGTTTATTTATTGTATTTATTACTTTATTTTCTTTTAAAATGTTTAATTTTATACTATAATTTGTTATTTAATCGTGTTTATTTCTTCAAGGTATTGGTGCACTTCCAAGGTTTAAGAAAATTCTAGATCAACCAAAGAAGCTAACCATCTTCATTTACGCTCACCACAAGACCTTAGCGATGATGAGAAGTTACACAAACAAAAGAGAAATTATTCGACCGGGAGTCACGAGATTTGCTTCCGCCTTTCTAACATTACAAAGTTTGGCTGAAAAAAAGGAGCAACTAAGACATATGTTCTCTAGCACCGAATGGGAGGAATGTAAATTTTCTAGTACACCTAAAGGGAACGCCTCATATAAAACGGTGTCAAGTGTCCAATTTTGGTCCGATGTGGCTCAATGTTTAAAGGTGTTCTCCCCTTTGGTGAAAGTCCTTCGAATGGTTGATGCGGATTGGAAGCCCTCAATGGGTTTTGTTTACGGGGAGATTAAAGTTGCTAAAGAAGAAATTATCACATCATTGGGTGGAACGAGAAAGCTTACAAACCTATTATAGATATCATAAACAAAAAGATGAAAGGTCGTCTAGATTCAAGTTTACATTTAACGTCTTATCTTTTAAATCCATATTATCACTATAAGGATCCACAACTCCAATATGATCCCGATATAATCAATGCGGTTCTTGATTTTTTTGATACATTACTTTGTGACAATTTTGAGATGCAAAGGCAAATTGTAACAATTGACTTGCCAAAGTACAAGAAAAAAGTTGATAGATTTGGTTGCGATCTTGCAATTAAAAATTGTAGGGTGAATGATGTCGAGTTTGATCTGGGTAATTCAGTTTACTTTTAGTTATCTATTTTAGTATTTTATAAAATTTTGATATTTATCGATTAATAATGTGTTTTTGTTTAAAAGGTTGTAGCTAGTTGGTGGGGACTATTTGGTATCACAAGTCCTCATTTGACAAATATTGCAATGAGGATTCTTTCTTTGACTAGTAGTTCATCGGGTTGTGAAAAGAATTGGAGCACGTTTGAAGGGGTTAGTATATTATTAAATTTATATTTTATAAAATTTATATATTAAACACATTTCAACTCTTTGTTGTGTTTACATTTCTAGGTACATACAAAAAAAACGAAATAGATTGGAGGCAAGCAAATTGAACAATCTTGTCTATGTTCAATTCAATGCTAATTTAATGGAAAAAAACCAAAAGCGAAAAGATACAAATATGGAGGTGCTGTTAGCAAATGATTCACTCTCGGCTCAAGAATGGATTGTTGATGTAGATAAAGTAGACCCCGAAACGGTTAATCAAGATCTAGGAACCGATGATAATCAAGCACCCCGAGAAAGTCCAAGAACGGGGGAACTTTCCGATGAAGATTTTGAGTCCGAGTGTGAGGAGAAAGTGTTAGAAGAAGACGAATATGAGTCGGATGGGGTTCAAATAATGGAAGTGTGTGGAGAAGATTAGAAGATAATATGTTTTATTTTTGTGTTATTTAAACTTATTATGAACTTGTTGGACGATGATTTGTTGTGTTTGTTGAACTTATTATTAACTTTTTATGTTTGTTTTGGTCTTGTGGATGATAATTTATTGTGTTTATTAAACTTGTTATTAAACTTTTATGCTTATTTACTTATATTATTATGATTAAATTTAGATTTATTAATTTTTGAATAATTTTCTTAATAATTAATGGTCTCCGATTAATCCCCCGATTAATCCCCGCCTAACCGATTAATCCCTTGACCCTAGTCCACCGTCGAGCTACCGTCAAGCGATTTTTGCAACCTTGCTTTTTATAATAGCCTTTTCGGAGTTAAGGTCGCCAATCTGTTTGTTGGCATGAGACATCTGCATAGAAAGAACTTTTGTTTTCTCAGTTTTGACAACCAGCTTATCTATGAGTTTGTTCTCTGTGGCCAGATCCTCCTGTAGCTTCTCAATGTTCGAAACGATAGAGGCACTCATCTTGGCATTATAAACTTTTATGGCGGAAAGAACTTTGGAAAGAGCTTCTTTCTCCGTTTCAAGGGTGGTGCCAAGACTGGTGATAACTTTATTAGCAGATGCAGTATTTTGGTCCGAAGATTTTCGGAATCCTGCCATAAACTGCGTTACATCAGAAAGTAGTTTTTTCACTTTCTCGGTCGTTTCCCTAACAGTTTGCTCGGAATTTTCAACTACTTTTGTAGATGCATCGAGACTTTTGGCATGCTCCTTGGTGAGAGTCTCAATTAACTCTTTGTGAGCCTAAAAGTAATACTCACTGTTGGACGAAGATTGGGATGACTCAAGCAGAGTATCCAATTTTTGATTGAGGTTTTGAACTGCCCTTTCGTCATTGGTGCATCGTCATCATCACTCTCCTGATGAACAGTGAATAGGCTGTAATGGAAATCTTCAAAATCATCCCGATCATCACCACAAATCGTATCAGGATCATCATCCCTTAAGGGCGAGACTGGGGTGGAACTCTGACCAACTATAACACCAAATGCACCTGCCACCGTATCAGATACGTTGACAGTTACTTGAGGTGAAATCGTGGTAGTGGTTGTGGTAGAATCAGTGTAGAGTGGAGTTGTTTGGGCAATAGATATATGTGGTGGCGAAACTCTAGTAGATACATTTGGATAAGGAGCTATGGTCATGGATAGAGAGATTGGTGTAGAAGTAGCAGTAGGAGAAGGTGGAGGAGATGGAACATGAAAGTAAATCATCTGTCAAGGGAATTGAAGTGGGAATTGGAGATGATACCTTCGAAGTAGACTCAGTAGGAATGGGCTCCGAAACCATGTGTTCCAAGACCATAGGTTGCGAAGTCGTTGCAGTATCTTCAGTTTCCTACTGAACTTGTTCAGTCCTCCGAATCTTCCGAAACAGTGTGAGAGTCCGAATCCTCTTGAGCGACAGGAGAAGCAGATTGTGGTTTGCGAGCAGCCTTATTAATCTTCTTTTTCGGAGTTTGAGCTGGCTCGGAAGGTCCAGCTTTCGCCTTTCGCTTTCCTTCCTTTTTGGGCTTGTTCCCTTCTTCAAGTACCCTTCGTAAATCATTGGGCATAAGACGAGGACCTGAGGCAGGTTTCTTCCAATACTCACTGATTAGCACATTGTCAGCTGGAACATTGAGTAGCATGGCCTCCGGAATGGATCCAAAAATGTCAAATTTGGTGGTATCGGACACAATAAAGTTGGAAGTATGGAAAATCGGAATCGCTGCCATCACAGAATCATATGGTACCTGAAGCTGAAGAGGAACAAGTGCACACTTGACGATGACTGACCAGAAGCGAGCACAAGAGATTTCCAAGTGCCTTGTGGTCGAAAGTGTGCTTTGAACCCGTTGAGCCCAGAGTATTGAACCATAATCAAGGTTAATCCTAGAATAAAGACCATATATTATTGTGCAGAAAAGGCTTGCTTGAACTATCTAAACCCGTAACTCGCTCTGAGAAGCTCTTAAACAGTAGAGTGAAAAGCCCATTCCACATAGGAGGAAGGTTGGGCTTCTTCAACTTCGATAGGAGAGAGAGGTTTTCTAAATACCCCATTTGGTAGAACATCTCCATAATCACAAATGAAGAAATTAATTCCAGATCGACCAACCCCTCTGTTGAAGAAAACCCTAATATCCTACTAAATCGAGCCTTAGAGATGGAGATTTTCTTGAAATCAACCTCAAACATTATCACAACTTCACTTTGTTGGTAGCTTGCAGTGGAGAATACCTTGGACAGATGAACCAATGAGACATTCTTAGCCATCATTAGGGCTTGAGCCAACGGAGAGTAACAGAGACACTCGATCATAGGCTTGATTAATTCAGCGTAGTTGGATGAATCGAGATCCATGATGAGGTTTTGGATGGGTTTGACGTTCTGTGAGAACAAGATCTATGCGCAGAGACAAGGTTTGAGAATTCAAACCTTGAGTGATTGCTTGAGATCAATGTCTGCTTGATAATGGATGTTCAAGTCGAGACTGGAAAGACCAGTCAAGTCTTAGATAATCGGTTCAACAAATGATCAAGACATTAATTGAGACCAACTTGATAATGATCAAAGTAAAGTTAATAAATGAAGAACAAGAAGAATGTTTTTAATATGATAAGAGTAAATGCCAAAAGTGAGTGAAAGATCCGTACTTGACTTGTATTGAAATCTCCTATTTAAAGGAGAGAGTGTTACAATGAATTATCCCAGATGTTTACATAAGACCGGACAAAAGACATAAGTCTAACATTCTGATTGTCCTAAAGCAACTTTAGACTAAGTCCTATGAAACGTTACATTACATACAAGACAAATGTAATAAATGCACTAAAGACATAAAGACTTCATTCCGGACAAGTAATCTTCCGGAGATGAGGCTTTGATCCGGATCAGCATACATTTCGGACTTCAGGATCAGCTCCGGAATGTATTCCTCTTCTAAATACTTCACTCTCCTTTTCTCCTGCTCCGGATAGGTTCCGGATCACATCTTCCTTCGAAACCAACATACTTCGGAATATGTACTTAGGATTGCTAGAGGTTCACTTTCAGGTTCCAACAATCTTCCCCTAAGTGAACTTAGCAATCCATCAAGCTTAGTTCATTTCTTCCTTGATGAAGGTGTATGCTCAGAACAACCATTCACACACCGCAATATACCAATTCAGTTGACTTACAAACTTTGCCTTAACCTGTTCCGGAGCATCAGACTTGGATGCCCGGGATATGAACTTCTGCAGAGCTTTGGTAGGAACCAGGTGTTTGTCAAGGACTCGGAAGAAGTGCTTCTTGTTTGTTCTTCTGGTGGTGTAGACAAACCCTAGAACTGGTTCTTCGATCGAACCATCTGCAAGAACTTCAGCTTCCCGAAGAACAAAGTCGATCTTTGCAATGAATTGTTCGGTTCCGTAGAGGTGATCAAGTTCGTAATCACAGCAGCAGAACTCAGCAACATAGTCTTTGAGAAAGCTGAGAGTTGCGTGGTAGGCACCCATACTGATGTCATCTTCTGATTTCTCTGAAGTAAGTAGCTAGGGTAAGGATGTCGTTCGGATTCATTGATGGAAAATCCGCATCAGTAACAGTCTGGGGAGTTGGCTTGTTCCGGAGGAGATGGAAACGGAACAGAGGACAGTTCAGCTCAATTTTACCAAATTTTTCTTCCGAAGCCATGAACTTTGGTGATCCTCTTCCTTGTCCATACTTCCTTGAAGGGTTGAGCATTTTTAGCATAAAAGGTTTTGAGCCTCTCACGCTCTGTCCGGATGATCACTTCCGGATTGTCGGTTGGGTGGAGCGGAGCAAACTTCGTGTATAATTTGCTACAGGGAGAGAGAGGAAGATCCAGTTGATCAGAGTCATTTGAGGGAAGGTCGTAGTGAGGGTTGGGATGATTTCCTTGGCTTGAAGGATGCCTTCTCGACATAGAGGAGAGATGCCACGCATCGGATCGGGATGGTCTTTTGAGGCTTGAATATGGATGCTGTCCTCCAATGCCTTGTGAATTTCCTCCTCAGACCATCCATATTTTTGTTTGAGAGGAGGTCTGGAGTGGAAGGCTTGATGTTCGGAAGTCATCGGTTTCTTCCCTTTGTCTTTCTGAAGTGCATCAATGACCAACTTCATATTTTCATCGATGATAAATTCCGGAGTGGAGTTGGAAGCGTTCTTCTGGAATTTCATCTGGAGTCCGGAGAGAGAGCCTTGATCAATTGGGGCTATTTTTGGTTCCGTAATGGGAGTGGGAGACAGCACAGAGGGAGTGGCTCGGAAGGCTTGAGCAGTAAGGATGATTTTGCCTTAGCCATTTTAACGGCCATTTCAAAGGCGTCCGGAAGAGAGGATGGCCAGGAGACTGCGAACCAGATCCTCTTTTGTTCCTCTGTTAACACCTTCGGAGCAGTCAGCTTTGGAGCTTGAAGACCAAGAACTCCTTTGGGAGCTTCATCCGGAATATAGACTTCATAATCTTCATCACCTTCGCTCCCTTTAGTGATTCCCAGGATTCCGGAGACAAATTGAACATCTTCTTCTTCTTCGGATCGAGGTCCCTCATCCCTGAGTGTGAATTTTAAGGCTGGTGGCCATCTCCTACTTGAGCCTTCTCCCCCTCTTGCATCGGTGAACCTTGAAACTGGTGCAAGCGTCAAGACTTCCTTGATATCATCAACTTTGGAGAACACCTTCTGAAGACCTGTGGAGATTTAAAGAGTAAGAGTGTCACAGGCTTCAGAAGTGGGAGCTTGTTCGGAGAGATGCTTGAATGTGCTGCTGAGGATGTCAATCATCTCAACAAACTTCCTGTTCGGAACATCAACAATGTTCCAAGTTGAGCGCAGGAGTTTGACGAGGACTTGTTGAATGATGAGGTTCATCTCATCCTTCTTCCGGATCTCCTTCTCCAATCTTTGAATTTGTTTCTCATGACGAACATCAGTCTGCTTGATTAGATCGTTGGTGGCAGACACAAGA